ATTAACATGGGATGTTCTTCCATTTGTTTATATCTTCCTCTACCTCTTTTTTCAACGTTCTGTAGTTTTCCAAGTACAGGTCTTTTACCTCCTTGGTTAAGTTTATTCCTAGGTATCTTAATTTTTTTGGTGCAGTGGTAAATGGGATTGTTTTTTTCGTTTCTCATTCTGTGAGTTCATTATTGGTGTATAATAAGGCCATAGATTTTTGGGTGTTAATATTGTATCCTGCTACATTGCCAAATTAATGTATTAGGTCTGGAAGTGTTTTGATGGAATCTTTGGGGTTTTCTATGTATAGTATCATGTCATCTGCGAATAAGGACAGTTTTACTTCTTTTATAATTTGTATGCCTTTTATTCATTCTTCTTGTCTAATCACTATGGCTAGCACGTTCAGTACTATATCGAACAGGAGTGATGAAAGTGGGCATCTCTGTCTTATTCCCATTCTTAGGGGAAATGAGTTTAGTTTTTGCCCATTGAGTATGATGTTGCTGTAGGTTTGTCATATAGGCTTTTATTATGTTGAGGTATGATCCCTCTATTCCCATTTTGCTGAGAGTTTTTATCTAGAAAGGGTGTTGGATTTTGTCAAATGCTTTTTCTGCATCAATTGATATGATTATGTGACTTTTGTCTCTCGGTTTGTTTATGTGATGTATCACATTTATTGATTTGCAGATATTATACCATCCTTGCATTCCCGGAATAAATCCCACTTGGTCATGGTGTATGATCTTTCTAATGTAATGCTGTATCCGATTTGCTAGAATTTTGTTGAGGATTTTAGCATCTATATTCATCAAGGATATTGGCCTGTAGTTCTTTTTTTGTGGTGTCTTTATCTGGTTTTGGAATTAGGGTAATTCTGGCTTCCTAGATAGAGCTTGGAAGTGTTCCTTCCTCTAGAATTTTTTTGAATAGTCTGAGGAAGATAGGTTTTAGTTCTTTGAATGCTTGGTAGAACTACCCTGTAAAGCCATCTGGACCAGGGCTTTATTGTGATGGAAGATTTATGATCACTGCTTCAATTACTTCGGCAGTTATAGGCCTATTCAGGTGTTTTGATTCTTCTTGATTGAGTTTTAGGAGCTTGTATTTTTCTAAGAATATGTCTGTTTTGTCTAGGTTGTCCATTTTGTTGGAATAGAGTTTTTCTTAATACTTTTTCATAATCCTTTGTATTTCGTGGGATCGGTTGTTACTTCACCTCTTTCATTTCTTTATTTTTTAAGTTAAATCTTTATTGTTCAGATTATTACAGTTGTTCCTCTTTTTTCCCCCCATGGCTCCACTCCACCCGGTTCCCACCCTACCCTCTGCCCTTACACCCACCCCCCGTCCTCATCCATAGATGTACGATTTTTTCCAGTCTCTTCCTGCACTCTCATACCCCTTTCACCCTGAGAATTGTCAGTCCACTCCCTTTCTATGCCCCTGATTCTATTCTTTTCACCAGTTTATTCTGTTTCATCAGATTATTTATTCACTTGATTTTAGATTCACTTGTTGATAGATATGTATTTGTTGGTCATAGTTTGTATCTTTACCTTTTTCTTCTTCTTCCTCTTCTTAAAGGATACCTTTCAGCCTTTCATATAATACTGGTTTGGTGGTGATGAACTCCTTTAGCTTTCTCTTGTCTGTGAAGCTCCTTATATGTCTTTTGGTTCTAGGTAATAGCTTTGCTGGGTAGAGCAATCTTGGTTGTAAGGTCCTTGCTTTTCATCACTTTGAATATTTCTTGCCACTTCCT